TGTGTGTGTGTGTGTGTGTGTGTGTGTGTGTGTGTGTGTGTGTGTGTTTGTGTTTCCGCACATTTGTAGTCAGCATAACTTCATAACGCCTTTATGGATTGTGATGACATTTGGTATGATGGTAAGTCTTAGGAAGACGAAGGTTAAGGTCAAATATGGGCCTCCTGGTGGATTGGTACTGCAGCAGAACGTCCGGTTTTTGTATCGTTTGTCCTGAACATGCTATGGTCTTGAATTTTTGGTGACAGATAGATTTTCCTGTCAGGAATAAGTGGTGTGGGTTTGGTCTCCCTAGCAGCTTGTTCTGGAACTGCAGGGCGAAATCTTTGAAAGCCAATAAGTCCAGATAGGAACAACGTATTTTCATCATTTTTGGTAGGTAGGTAGCTGAGAGAGAGATGTACATAATTAAATGCAAATTATGCAAATGAGGACTTTATTTGCATAATTAATGAGGAAATTCTATAATCATAGTGTTTTACATTATAGTACTTTCATACATGTAATGTATGTAACCAATGGCAGATGGAACATCAACAGATACTAATTATGCAAATGATGATCTAATTTGCATAATAAATGCGAAGATTCTATGATTTCTTAATGGTGAATGATGGGAATGTCATACTTGGGACATCTGTAAGTTAATCAAAAGTTAACATCACGATGCATATATTATGTTAATGCAGAGGTCATTTGCATAATTAAAGATTATATTTACAATTTACATATCAAGCCCATATTTCATGGAGGTATGAGATCCCGGAACTCTTGTTTCACATGTTATGTTGCCACTGAATCAAAGCCATTTGTACAATGATTTAAAACTTTTTTCAAAGTTGTTTCTTTGACAAAATTTGGTAGTAAACTTGGCCCAATATACGGTATCATTAATACATCAGTATGGACATGTTAAGTTCATACTGGGTTATGAGCCGGGCAGGTCATGTCAGGTATCCTAGAGTCTCTCTCACTCACTCACTATCTGGTTTAGTGTCTGTTGTTCCCAGCTTCCCGAGGGTTAGACGTGCTTGTACAACAATGCTGAGACTTGATGGCAGTTAGTTTTTAGCCTGGGCACCATCCGTATTTGTAAGGACCTTGGTATTTGTTACGCCTCTCCGAATACGGATGGTACCCTGAGGCTAGGTACCAGTAGTTTTGTCTTCCAGATAGGTAATATTGAACCCAGTACTGATTAACCTGTTGTGTTGTCATGTTTTGTCGCCTCAATTCTTGTTTAACAAGGTTTATCACGTATGATCTCAAAATTTGTAAGGTTTATGATCTAAAAAAATATAAGAATCTGATTTCTTTTTGGGCCGCCTTGTTTTGTTTTCGCCCTATCGCATTAAATTCAGCCTATGGCCATCTGAAGGACAATAGCTTGTCCAACTGGTACGCATTTTCCACGTAATCTCACGGCTCCAATTTCCGACCACGTCTCTACAGCTCAGCAGTAAGTAGGGTAGTAGAACACAAGTAAGTTATTCTTTTAAGTACTCATTCTTAAGTAATACGGCCGGACAAATTCTCCTGGGCTCAGCTCCCCCGTAGCAGTAGTTTAGATAGGCGGGGGAAGGGCTCTTGGATGCCGAAGGAAAACGGCTAACGGCCCGATACTACATACTAGTTTGGCACCCAGGGTAGGCTTGGGTCGGCATTGTGTTCCTGGCTGCCCTTGTCGGTGACCGTCATGGCGGCCGTACGTACCGATGTTGTATGAGTCCTTAGCATGGTTCATAACTCATAGCGCAAACCAGGATAAAATATATGTCCTCGTAATCCTCACAAGTTAGAGAACCTCGGGGAGTTCACTCGGAGATCACAAGTGCACGCATAAACGAGCTTTGAAGCGTCAAAGTTGACTAATTTTCATTTTTCGGCGAGGTGTCCGCCATTGGTTTTCGGTCGAAATTCGCACCCTATGGGGGTTTCGCGGTATCTGGTTACCTTTGTCAAGAAGGTTATGTTTTCAGTAGCGTTTGTCCGTCTGTCCGTTTGTTTGTCTGTTTGCCTGTCTGTCTGTGAACAGCATAACTCAAGAAGCTTAATATGCAGTATCATGAAACTTGGTAGGTGGGTAGGTCTTGATGAGATCTAGAAATGATTAGATTTTGGGGCCCCTGGCGGCTTTTGTTGGTACTGCAGCAAAACTTCCGGTTTTGATATCTCGCGATCTGGACATGCTAGGGTCACGAATTTTGGTTGGTAGGTAGCTCTTGGGGTAGGAAACACGTGACATGAGTTTGGGCCCTCTAGCAGCTTGTTCTGAAACTGCAGCGGCGTTTGTTGAAAAATCTTCGAAGAAAGATAACTCAAGAACCGGTCGATGTATTGTCGTGATTTTTGGCATGTAGGGAGCTGAAGTGATGCTTGACATAATCAGATGACAATTATGCAAATCAGGAGCTAGTTTCATAATTAAGAGGAAATTCTATAAATCTGCTTCGTTCGATAATAGGACTATGAAACACTTGTGACATGTAATTCAGAACGAGAAGAACATCTGAGGATATAGATTATGTAGATAAGGACCTAATTTGCATAATTAATGGCAAATTGTTATAATTTACCAGCCAATGTAGTACAAATTGGCCAAAACAGTCCCCTACAATCATCGTAATGTCCTTGAATCATCCAAGTCTACTGATAATATCCCCTCCTATTTAAGTCAATTTCTACCCTTTTTTCAGTCCATCGAGAGCCTTTTAGAGATTAAATAAACTAAATCCACTTTTAAAACATCACATCATTCTTTTACTTCAGATCTTTTTTTCTCCCGAACACCAACTTGAATTAAAGTGAAGGACAATGTCTTCAACTCGCAGCGATGTCTCCGTGCTGATCCCGTTCTCCGACGGGGACAAGGAAAAGAAGGAAACCCTACGTCAGTGTCCATCAGTACAGGTTTGTTCCTACCTACCAACCTTGTCCCTTGACCTCCTGGTTTTGGGGGGACAAGGCAGAAGCAATAATGGACAGCTGTGAGTAACGTATATTTCGTGGCACAGTATCTGGATTATTCTGTGGGGTCGTGTGACCCAAGAGGTCGCGGGTTCGAATCCTGCCCATGTCTCATGCCCTTGGGAAAGGTCACTACTTAACATGAGTTTCCTCACTTCACTCAGGTGGAAATGAGTACCTAGCTTCGGTCAGAACCTAGCCTCGGACATTAAATTGAGGTCCCGTGTTTGGGGAGATTGTTGTTATATAGCAATAAACGCCATGCGTTGTACCTCTTACAATTGTTGTGCAATAAAGTTTATTAGTACATGTACTGGGCTCTAAGAAGATCTGGGGACAAACTTAACTGCAACCTCAGTCAAAACGGAGTCAAAAATGTTTTCTACTCTTCAATATTAGAAAGTATGAAAACTCGTCCATAGATACTACTGATTCTTTTTACTACACATGTATGTGTAGGTGTCTGAGGTGATCTTCAACAATATCGAGGAGACAGAAACACTCCTGGACTACGTACAACGAGTAAAGAGGGTGAGTATGTGCCACTTTCCAGCGTGTAAGATCCATATGTTTGGATCTGTTGTGAAGGTAGTAGTATCACTATGTCACTATGCTCTGTTTACAAGATAACTTGCCAGTTGAGAACGGTTGAGAACAACAATGTTGTGTTTGTATGTTTATCGAAGGAAAACATATTGTTTTTCCTCAGTTTCTTCCTCTTCTTCTCGAAATAAATAAGATCAATGACCTGAACCAGACGTCTCTCACCATGGTAACTGGTGTTGGACCACATAATGTTGCATGCAGAGTTCAAGAGGGGATGCATGGTTACCACATATATGAATGTGTTTGAGTAAGAATAAAGAAAGATTTTAAAGCTAGGTCACGTGAAGGTAAACATTTTACCTTAATTTTTAGTCTTCTCATTCTTTCAGCTCGTCGCTGAACTCAATATCAACATCATTCTCCCCACAACTGACCTCTCCACGTTCGTGCACGCCGCCATTGCCCGGGACTTCCCGCACATCCCCGGGCCCAGTGTCGAGTCGTGCTACCTGGCTTTCCACAAGGCCTACACTCGGCAGTACCTGGACTCCGGGGAAAGCCAAACCCCCTACGATGTGGTGGACCTTGATTCGCCAACTATGCTGGAGGACGCAGAGCGGGCTTTGGAAAAAATCGGTAAGGAAAAAGAGTCATGGCGAGTGGTATTGATATGGAGGCGACCTCACGCACGCACGCGTGCACGCACACACACACACACACAAACAAACAAATACACCAACAGGCACACACACAAACAGATACACAAACAGGCTAGGCACACATACACACACACAGACGCGCACACACACACACAGACGCACAGTGCACACACATACATACACACACACACATACACACACGCACACATACATACACACACACAAACACACACATACACACACACACACACACACACACAAACACACACACACACACATACACACACACACATACACACACACACACATACACACACACATTGAGGGGTGACATTAGGCAAATTAAAGGGAAGCTTTTTGACGTATACAAGCAAGACTGGGCAACCAAAGTACATTTGAAACCTAAACTTAGAACATATGCTCTGTTTAAAGATACTTACTGTATAGAAAAATATGTAACTATGTGTCTCCCCAAACGCCAAAGATCACTGTGTGCACAGCTGCGAGCTGGTATTTTACCTATCAGTATTGAAACTGGACGGTACCAGGGAATTCCTGAGGAAAATAGAATCTGTACCATGTGTGACCTGGATGAAGTAGAAAACGAAACACATTTTCTTTTTTACTGTCCCTTTTATGACGATCTTCGAGAAAATATGTTTCGTAAAATTTATACAAAATCACCTGACATCATATGGGAAAGAGATGAAAATAGAATTAAGTGGCTCTTTAACGAGGGTGTATCTGACCTAGCAACTTTCATTTATCGAGCGTGGGGGAAAAGAAGAAAATACCTGTATTCATAATACATCAACAGTTGTCACTTTTTGTTACTTCTGCACGTTTGTTTTCTCTTATTATGTTTGATTTAACTTATGTACCAGTCCTGTATTTATTTTATGAACTCTTTGTTCATTATGTACAGATTTGTTTATTTGTATTTACGATCTGCTATGAGTTCACTTATTTGTTCACCATTATTGTATATAGCCTACCTTTATTTGCGTTCATATTTTGTTTGGATTCTGTTATCTGTACCTTTGATTCTCTTTTGTTTATGTATAATTTATTGAATCGGTGTCGTATAAGCCCACACGGGCTGGGCGCGGGATAGCGCACGACACGGAAATAAAGCATCATTCATTCATTCATTCATTCACACACACACACACACACACACACACATATACACACACACAGTACACACACACACACAAAAACACACACACACACACACATACACACACACACACACACACACACACTATGACACACACACACACACACACACACATACACACACGCGCGCACAAACACAAGCCTAAACCTCTGCTTGGAGAGTACGAGTAACAGGGTGTTTTTGTACGCATGACCAGGTCTACCGGCGTTCGTCAAGCCGGCAGCGGGGTTTGACACGTTTGGCGTGGCCAAGATCGAGAACTTTGAAGACCTGAAACGCGCCCTGCAAAACCTCCGGACAATGAGGGATGAAAATCCTGGCTTCACGTCCTCACCAAGTGCTCCTTTCTTGAAGTAAGCAAGTCTCATATTCATAGCCTTGTCTGTGGTATTAGCTGATAGTACTCAGTAGACCGTATTACGAAGTTCGTTACATGCTGGGAACAGAGGAGAACTCTGGGTAACTCGAATGTCTACATTGTGCACACTGTGCTCTCTTGTTCCTTTTCACCGGCGTTCCGGATCCCCATATGTATGAAAGAATGATGACATGAACTTTTTAAACTAGGGATTATTTCAAACAATATCTGGACGTGGAAAAGTACCCCCTCGCCCTTCGGGACGTTGTGATTGTGGAGCCGTACTTGGACGCCGTGGCCCTCTACACCGTGGATGGATGTGTGGTGGACAATGAGATTGTGCCTTGGACAGTGCGTTTGTAACCGCCGTGACCTTTGATATGCATAATTAATAGCTACACATAGACCATATATATCCTATGGAAGGCGTAGTTTGCATAGATTACTCGGCTTAATATGTAGGCCCGATGATTGGCCAGTGGGAGTAGCCAATCAGTGAGTAACTATCGATAGTTATAATTACTCACTGATTGGCTACCCCCACTAGCCAATCATCAGAGCCTACCTTTCTATATCGAGCTTGGAAGATACAATTCGAGACCGCGGATTCCAGGAGCTCGAGTCTCATGTGTAGTTGTAGTTCTCTCTCAGAGTGTAGACTGTAATGCTGTAGTACTACATGTACACTTAGTATCCACCATCTGTTGTGTTATACGATATATGAATGCAATAATAGACCATGTCTGTAACTTTGAGGTAGCTTGGAAGGTTCAATTTGTTCTCCTTCACGTCAATGAGGTTAAATCAAATCTATAGATATATTATTAAAGTCGTTGAAGGTATGCACCATAATGGCACAGAGTGCGAGTGCAGACTGCATCCAGAAGATCATGTTAATTTCACGGATAAAAGTTACTTTGGCACAATCTAGAACGATTCTTTCCAGGCTGATCTGATCGTGTGTACATGTACGTACTGCCACAGATCACAGACGAGCTCCGTTTCGACCACAAAGTAGCCAAGTTCATGACCGTGATCGCTCCGACCTCCGAGCCGGAAGACTTGCAAAGGCGGATATGGGACGTCTATATGGGCGTCATGACCAAGATGATCCAGCTGGGCTTCAACAACTGCTTCACAAACATCGAAATCTTCAGAATGAAGGATGGACAGGTACTAGCCTATGCTCAGGAAGTGGCTGTGAAGACTAAAAATTGACCAAACAGACATAATATGCCAGGGGAGTTCGTCCGCTAAGAGCACAGTTTGCCGCTCTTGTCCTGATTTAACTCCTATCCATAACAGCATGAGAATCGAGCTATCATTGCAATTTGATTTTGCAACTGCCACCATATCATTTGATGTTGTAGTGCCTCCTTGAAACTCTATTCTCTTATCGAGGATGCTACTAAGGAAGTGTCATTAAAAGATGAACATTCATAGCCTACTGTGCAGGCTCCGGGGAGGTTGGGAATTTTGATACAGCGTTTTGAAGAGTTTTTTAACGCGTTCTTTTAATAGCCCCACGTGGGCAGAATGGAACCTTCTCTCGGTGGCTATGGAAGATAGCCGGCTATTAAAAGAACACGTTAAAAACTCTTCAAAACGCTGTATCAAAATTCGCATCCGCCCCGGAGCCTGCACAGGAGGCTAGAACATTCAAACATTGCCACATACCAGGCTGTGCGAGAGTGTCAATCACCGCTACGTTGAATAATATACTTAATTCTCTGCATGATATGCTTGTAAAACTGACGACGTCATTTCACTTACTTCAGCTGAGGCTGTGTGAGGTAAATGCCAGGGGGTCACAGAACATCCAGGGTTGCTACAGGGAGAGCTACAGGAACGCTAACGAGGACTACCTGTACCTGACTGCCGGCCGCGGGGTGAAGTACACAACACCGCACAAGACGGGCAGGTATTCCTGCGCCTACATCGTCAAGTTCGACAAGCTGGAAAGGCCCGGCAATCTCATGGACTTTGACCAGGTAGGTGACATGTACAAACACGAGTTCCACGAACGCATACCTTCGCCAAATGATGTTAACCTCCAGTTGACGAGTTATACAATTTTAATAATTGATTTCGCAAATATGAGTCTCATTTGCATGGATATATATATATGAGTTGATCAAATTCTCCATCCAATGACAACCTTATCTTAACAAAAAGGCTATTATAGCACTTCCTCATAAATTATGCAAATGAGGTCGTGATTTAAATAAATTATGCTTATTGATGTTCACCTTCCAATGCGGCAAGAATGAGATTCCCAGCAGTTACAACCATTATACCAATTTTTAAGTTATAACAATTTAAATTAATTATGCAAATTACATATTGATTTACATAATCTATATCAAAGTCCTATTACGTACAACGATGGAATTTCCAATTTTCTCATTATATAATTATGTCAAAGACTGATAAAGTTTGGAGAATGGAAGTATGAAGTAGCATTTTTACAGCAAAGCCCTTCTCTCTTATTTCACAGATAGAAAAGCTGAAGGTGGATCCTGATGTGTACATCTTGCTCTCGGCGGGTCCTGACGATGACGTCACAAATTTCACCGGCAGTGTCGGGGGTCACTTCTGTTTTGTGTTCACCTATGGTGACTCCAGACAAGCCATGATCAGGAAGCTGGTCGATGTGCTGAAACTTGTAGTGAAGAAGCCAGAACGACTGACATATCCAGTACACTGTGGGATGTAAGGGCCAGTATTGATAAAACAAATGTAGTACCAGTATACCTATATATTGTTTGTTTGTTGTAATGACAATTTGCCACTATCGTTTAATTTCTAAGTTGTTTCTTTTAAACGGCAACTGTAAAAGTTCTAATCTCCTTGCGTTTTATTTCCATTTTATAACATTCAATATGTATCAACACTTAATGAATGAATGACGACCTTTATTGCACATTTTTGCCACACTGGGCTAAGTACAGGTCAAAACAAAACATGATGAAAAGATATATACAAAATAAAACTAGCTATCGTTACATAAATTCAACTTCTCGCTTTTCAGTTATAGTGGAGATACAGGAGCAGATATGTTTTTTTGGATGGAAGGTTTGTCAAGTCGCATTAGGAATATGAATTTTTCTACAGTGCTCAAGTGTAAAACAAATATACACACTGGAAACTAATTGGCAATTGACAACTACATGTACTTGCAAAACAAGATTTAAATATTGTTATAATATTATCATTTTGATATGAATAAGGGAAAATTAATAGCATGACATCGATACCTCCCCCACAAAAGTTAAGAAAATTGTCGTCAGAATTTTGTCTATCTCAAAGCTTCGTGTCAAAGCCAAGTAGATTCTCTATAGAGGAGCCTGAAGTTTGCTCCTCGATCGGTACAACTGCGACCTCTGGCGGCTCGTCTGTGGATTGCTCATCATCACTCTCAAACCCTGTGTTGGCGATGCCCATGGTCACGTCACTGGTTCTGCCGCTATAGAGTCTCCCATTGGCCACGCCGTTCGGCTGTCTTACGTCACCGTTTTGCTGATTGGTCGCCGCGATGTTGCCGCCTTGGCGCTGCCGAACGGAGTCGAAGATGTCGAGGACTCGCGACTTGGGCACGATGCCGACACGGAAAAAGCCGAGGTTCCCTTCGTCAATCTTCGTGCAGTTCACGACCGTAGAAGCCACGTTCTCCGGAGACGGTCCATCGCACAGAACACCATCCACCTGTGAGTGAAGAAAGATTGAAAGTTCATTGCAAATCCATACCCGATGGCTAATTACAATAACATGATGAAATAATAAACAATAAAAATTATATTACGCAATATAAATGCGAACACTACTTTTGATATAGTTATTGTTGGGTTTAGTTTCGTTTCTTTGTTCAGTCGAGTATGAAATGGCCGACACTTTGCGAAATGTATGAATGTATAGGTGTTTCTCCTATCTTTCACAGTGAAAAATAGGAACACCGACGTTGACATGTATCTCAATCAGAGTATGTGATGGAAAAGATTGCGACTTTTCGATCTAACCTGGTGACAGAAAAAAGGGTACATGATAGAAATTTCACAATATTCTCCGATAACCTCTGCTTAGAGAGTAATTATGTTTACCGAATGAAAATATATTGTTTTTGCTCAGTTTCTTCCTCTTCTTCTTCTCCAAACAATGATCTGACCAATGACATGATTTGTTGAAGTCTGTCACCATGGTGACTGGTGTTGGGTTACATAATGTTGCAATTTCATGGTCTGCTCTACTCCTGTCACCATATACTAGTTAAAATGCCCTTCATTCAGTCTTTTCCTCACTAGGTATAGCTATTACATGTACTTATCTCCAAAACCTACAATGCGTGCAGTACTTACATTGTCGCCGAGTTTGGCCAGAACCTGTGAGTGGTGCGTGGTGTCGGCCTCCCCGGACGGGTTAGCTGACGTCACGGCGATGGGTCCCACCAGGTCGATCAGGTGGGTGGCGACCGTGCAGTCTGGGATGCGGATGGCGATGCTCTCAGGGGTGCCGATGTAGCGGGCGGAGTCTCCCAGCCCGAACCTGTCCAGCCACGGACCTGGGAGGGACACATAGTAGTAAGCTTGAAAGTTCATCTGTGTTGGTAGACGTTATTATGCAGTAAGTTTAAGAGGCCATCTACATCCGGGCATTACAACCTTCCCTCAACAAAGACGGGGGGCGCCACAGACTTTCTGTAACTTACGATCCTCTGCTCACCGAGTCACGTGTGTCATCTGAATAACGTGACGTAACGAAAGCAGTGGTTTGATCATTACTTATTGGCAAAGACTGGAGTTGTACAGTCGAAAATTTGGGGAAGTCCAATTCTTGTGTTCGAAATTACTTACTGCATAGTAGTTAGGTTTAAGAACCAATGCTCTCGACTATAACGGAGTTTGAATGTTTTAGGTGTGATTCCCGTTCTCCATAAATTACAGTGATGTTGTACGTCAATGTTGGAACACTGGGAACGAGAAGGTTTCAATGGAAACGTACCTCTCTTGATAACGAGGCTGATGGAGGACGGCCACACCTCCTTCATGAAGTCCCACAGAAGCGGCCCAAACTCCTGCCTGGCCGGCTCCAGCTGGTTCAACTGGAACCAAACATGTCACATTTAGCAAGCATAGAACTCCTGCCTGGCTGGCTCCAGCTGACTCAACTGGAACCAAACAAGTTACATTTATATAATAGCAAGCATAGAACTCCTGCCTGGCCGGCTCCAGCTGGCTCAACTAGAACCAAACATGTCACATTTAGCAAGCATAGAACTCCTGCCTGGCCGGCTCCAGCTGACTCAACTGGAACCAAACATGTCACATTTAGCAAGCATAGAACTCCTGCCTGGCCGGCTCCAGCTGACTCAACTGGAACCAAACATGTCACATTTAGCAAGCATAGAACTCCTGCCTGGCCGGCTCCAGCTGACTCAACTGGAACCAAACAAGTCACATTTAGCAAGCATGGATCAACTTTTGGTGGGGTCGTGCTCGTCTCAGAACCAAGAGGTCCCGGTTTGAACCCTTCCATGCCACCCATCTTGTGGTCTTGGGAAAGGCACTTTACACGACTTTCCTCACTTGACTCAGGAGGTAAAAATGAGTATTGTCTATTGTCCTCTGTGTTGGTGGCTAATATTAATAAAAGAACTTGTGCCCTCAGCACGTCTAGTTATTACATGTTGGAATAAAAAAAAAAACGTTTGTTACATCTACAAATACTACGCGATAAGACATTTTCAGTACAATTTCTGTTTGTTTTCTCAGACAAACAAAATTTCACCTGTGAGATCCATATGGACATGGGTCTCTCCTCCGCTTGTTTCTTGGTGCGGTAGGCCCTCTCCACGGCGGCAGGCCGGTTACAGGCGGCCACCAGCACGTACACGGTGTCTGTAGGCATGCCACAGATCCCGCCGTCTTTCAGGAGCTCTGTGTGAGGTAACGGTACAGGACATTGTATGTACTTGTGTTATGAGGTACTAGAAAAAATGGTACATGTCATCAGCAAATAAATGTTCAACATACGGCCATTGTCTCATCAAAAATTATTTCCTATAAGAATAGAAATGAGTAAAAAAATTTCTATAAATCACAATATAAAAATGTACTGAAACATCGTACTAACCTGCGATTTGTTTGACGCCGTTTGCCTTCCTGGCGTCCGCCATGACACAGCCCTGTTCCCCACCCCTGTCGCGGCGCCCCCTGCCCAGGGTCAGGAGCGGGCTCCCCAGGGACATCACCTCCTCCCCACACATGCCGTTCAGCAGGTGCACACAGAAACAGTACACACACACCGCGCCAAACACACACATCACTGCCAGCTCAAAGTACTGACTAGTCTGGACGCCTAGCGAGTCTAACAGGAACAGCACACAAACCACCTCAAACACCACGGACAGGACCAACCACGCCTTGTTGATCACCACAGACAAGAAGATGACGAACAGGTTAAAGAGAAGAAAGGACGCGGCTCCTGCCGCCACACCGAGTCCTTCACTGCCCCTGTAGACACCAGAGTACCTGACAGACCCCCACAACAGCCACATCATGCTGTACACCAGGAACGCCGTGCTCTCGAACGTCTTCCCGCGGGAGAAGCTGATGGTTCCCGCCACAAACTGGATGACTCCTCCCGGTACGATCACCCAGGGGAGGACCAGAGACTTGTCTCCGGTAGACAAGAGCGCCACGGCTAGAGCTGTCACGGCATTGGACAGGAACCCCAGCGTGTCCGCACTGGCGTACTTCGAGTAGCCGAGGATAGTGTCAGACGACGGTGACTGGCCCGCGATAGAGGAGGCCGGCTGGTCGACATTCTTACACCGGCAGCGAGAGAAGAGCTCTCGTAGCGACTCCTCGGGTAGAACGCTCCTTCCGACCGGGACTAGAGTCTTCCTAAAACCAGGGTTCATCGATAAAGCAAAGGTACAGTAAAGGGAAACAGTTAGCAGCAAAATACTGGAAACGCCGAGATAGGTACTGTTCAGGCCTGTAGTGGGAAGGGAGAGGACGAAAATGGCAAAGCAGAGGTTGTAGACCACATCTGAAATCGTCTTGGTGAAGGACAGAAGGAAGAAGATGAAGAAAAAAAGGACAAGGACGGACGATGCAAGGACAGGAGGTGCCGATTCAGTCTTACCCCAGACGTTACTAAGAAACCCATACGTTAGACCAAGCCAAAGAGTGACAGACAAGGAAAAGCCAGTTCCGTGAAACACGTCTTCTCGTCTGAAGGACACCACAGAAACCAGTAGCTGGGCAAGACCCCCTAGCGCCATCCAAGGCGTTGCCGGATGAACGTCATCGATGGCGCCAATAAAGAATAGCGCCACGGCGCAGGTAGGGAGCATGTTCATGGCGAAGCCAAAAGTCAGGACGTCGTTTTCAACGATTTGTTCCTCGCCCCCATCTTTACGGGATTCTTCTCTCAAACCAGGAAAACTAAAGTCACCTTCTTTGCAGTAAGACACAGACAAGCCGACCACATAGTACAAACCTAGCAGCACGGGTAATGTCTGGTAGCATGCTGCACCCCACCTAGCGGCAGGATAGAACAGTGCAACTATCTCCATGACCATGGAAAACCCGAGCAGAAAAGACACCAAACCTGTCAGAGTGTGCTGCTTCACTCCTGCTATTGCAAGGGAAAGAGTTATGGCTAGGAAAACAACATAGCCTGGGAGCAGGGCGTCTTTGCGGGCATCTGAGGAGATGATATCCAACCCCTCCAGGATTTTGGCGGACCCCAGGGAACCCCAGAGCACCGACAGGCACAGGTACAGGGTGGTCAGGGTGGGGCAGGGAAGATGGAGCAAACGGGCACCTGAAAGAAACAAGAATTAACTTTAAAAATTGGATAATGCTTTTCTTATGCAACAGTCAAAGATGGTACGTGGGCGTTGAATACAGTATTTGGCATGATAAAATGATTACACTGACGGTAGAATTGTGAGGAATATGGTGCCAAAAGTTTGCGACCATACTGTTTTTATTGTTTGTTTTATTTGTTTGTTTGTTTTGAATTTGGCCAACTTCTACTTTTTCCAGCCGCCTCCCGAAGCCTAGTAGAGCTACGCTCGCATTAGTATTGGGATGCCTATAGTATCTAATATAACGAAATCAGTATGGCCTAAGTAATCCGTGCGAAAACGTGCATGGCGATAACAACGGGATTTGTACACCTGCAGTACCATTAAACACCGCCAGATGTCTTACCTGCTGAAAACTGCATGAGGCCCGTGATGACCAGTACAGTCCCGGTGACGAGGCTGTTGGGCGAGGCTACAGTCAGGTCCAGACTGAAGTTGTGAGCGGCCAACACCAGGCTACCCAGCACAACTCCCGTCATGCCCTGCACGCGGGGACCCACGGGAAGGGTCACGGCACCTGTCCGTCCCATAATGCTTTTCTGTTGAAAAATACAAATCAATGTTCCACTTTCATTGATTTTTACATCCCCATAAGTGAGATTTTCGATCGAACAATCTCCCCTAGGGGAGACTGGAATTCAAGTTTTTTTGTATAAAATGGGATCTCAATATCTGAATCCCAATCTCTCTTAGGAGGATTCCAGATTCTCCTAGGGGAGATAGGGATTCCAATTTGTCCTCGGACAAGAATTCTTACAGGACAATCGTCAATTTTAAAAGGAGAAATTCTGATTGCATTTGATTTCTACTACTGAATTGGGATCTGTATATAAGGATTCCAATGTCTCCTAGGAGGATTCCAGTCTCCCCTAGGGGAGATACAGCCGTCACGCCACGTACTAAATCGAACGCGTTTCGAACCGTTTTTATTTGCAGTTCGAATCGATCCGCGATCCCTAGCAACGCCGTTGCTAAGGAAACTCTTTCCGCGCGGCAGTTGGATGAAATTTCATCCGACTTTCACGGCTGCGTTGAGCCTGGTTGGCGGCATTATTACTTACGTTGCGTTACATGTACCAGACGGGAATGCCATGTACTCTTGACATGATCAATTTTTGGAGGGTTTTACAACGTATTTTGTTAGATAAATGGTCATATTTGCTAAACAGTGAAATCGTCAAAATGGCGGTGCCAAACTGAGCTGAATTTTCGACGAACTTCACATTGGGGGCATTTGCATGTCGCCCTCGATTCTGTCTTATATGACCATTGAGTAAGATTCGTTGAATCTTCGACTATGTCTCTTGTGAAAATCTTGTTGGATCAAGATCTGGAAATGCTTGTATATTCATATCTACCGGGGTCACGTCCTCCGCCGTTTTACGCCAAAAGTTCTAAAACGTTGGTTCAGTTGATTCTAGTGCAACCGGCGTTTTAGCACAAGTTGCGGTACTAAGGTACCTTCTCAATATTGTCAAAGGATGCCTACAGACACAGACTACGTAAGTACGAACTGAATCAGCAAATGCTTTCTTACTCTTGCTGGTATCAGTACTAAAATCCAACGGTGCGGGTCTGGCGTCTGGTCTGTGGAACGCGCTTGAAACCCGCGCTGTTTTTGGAACGAAAACGATGCCTCTGATGAGGTGGCCTCGTGCGATTACGAATGAAGCTCATTACTACGAAGGCCCATAGGTACACTTAGCATTTTTATCCCACTTTGTATTTTCTATGGGTACTTTGTATTTTCTATGGGTACTTTGTATTTTCTATGGGTACTTTGTATTTTCTATGGGTACTTTGTATTTTCTATGGGTACTTTGTTTTTTCTGTGTGTACTTCGCGAAGTTTTTTTTGGTGGCTGGCGAAGCGACATTCATTTTGCTTTGATGTGGATGCTCCCATTTTTATTATGGGCGGTATATTTCTGTTTACCATTCCAGGCAACTAAATTTATTTTGAACCTATTAAAACATAATATACTTTACACTTTAAGAAAATTTTGTTTGTTTTGCATGCAATGTTCCACACGTTTATTAATTAGGAGTATCAAATAGTGATTATTACATCCTGGCATAGATTATGTTAATGTTGACACAGGACCATACTATTTTCGGGGGTGCTAGGACATATTGTTCAGACTTCCGTCAACATTTCCGTAGCGATAAATCACTTCCTCGCTGAATGTAAATTACTCCTTTGTATTAAAAAAGCCCGTAATCTAAAGCGAGGGTTCATTGCCAATGTTGGGGAAAAATTGCATTGCGGTTTGCTGCCCTCCTACCAACCGCGAACGTTCATCACATGCAGTTTACGCAGGGAATATGGACAATATGCCGTTTCAGTAAATAACCTGACATCTAAAATTGTTGAAATATTCACAGAAACTCAAATTACACTCTAGGTTGACCGTCTAATCGTGTGGTAAGCTACATGTGTGCTGTAGTGACATGAATTGGCTACTTTTGGTGGGGAGGGGGGCGTCCCAACAAAGGTCAACGACCTCCATGGCTTACGGCCTATGTTTCACGCTTTTGCACTTCATAAATGAACAATTTTAGATAGTCAGGTTATTTACTGAAACGGCATATTGTCCACATTTCCTGCGTAAACTGCATGTGATGAACGTTCGCGGTTGGTAGGAGGGCAGCAAACCGCAATGCAATTTTTTCCCAACATTGGCAATGAACCCTCGCTTTAGATTACGGGCTTTTTTAACACAAAGGAGTAATTTACATCCAGCGAGGAAGTTATGTACCATATATCGCTACGGAAATGTTGACGGAAGTCTGAACAATATGTCCTAGCACCCCCGAAAATAGTATGGTCCTGTGTCAACATTAACATAATCTATGCCAGGATGTAATAATCACTATTTGATACTCCTAATTAATAAACGTGTGGAACATTGCATGCAAAACAAACAAAATTTTCTTAAAGTGTAAAGTATATTATGTTTTAATAGGTTCAAAATAAATTTAGTTGCCTGGAATGGTAAACAGAAATATACCGCCCATAATAAAAATGGGAGCATCCACATCAAAGCAAAATGAATGTCGCTTCGCCAGCCACCAAAAAAACTTCGCGAAGTACACACAGAAAAAAACAAAACCCATAGAAAATAAAAGTAACCCATAGAAAATACAAAGTACCCATAGAAAATACAAAGTACCCATAGAAAATACAAAGTACCCATAGAAAATACAAAGTACCCATAGAAAAACAAGTACCCATAGAAAATACAAAGTACCCATAGAAAATACAAAGTACCCACAGAAAAAACAAAGTACCCATAGAAAATACAAAGTACCCATAGAAAATACAAAGTACCCACAGAAAATACAAAGTACCCACAGAAAATACAAAGTACCCATAGAAAATACAAAGTACCCATAGAAAATACAAAGTACCCATAGAAAATACAAAGTACCCATAGAAAATACAAAGTGGAATAAAAAATGCTAAGTGTACCTATGGGCCTTCCTACATTACGCCCTCAAAATTTATAACAAGTTATATACAGACAGAAAGTAGAGATTTGAGGCTACTTTACACACTAAATTTCTTTTTGTTTTGAAAACAGAAATAAGGTAAAAACACCGGAGGAATTTCCACCAAAATCAAGTGGTTTCAGGTCATATTCTCAAACGAGTAGAGGTTAACAATCGTTTTAAAAAGTCACTAGGCGTAAAATAGGAAGCTTAATATTCACAGATACAATGAAATAATGAAGATATATAGTTATAAACTCAAGCAACAAGCTTTGTAGTAAGAGGTCCCGACTCCCTGGGGTTATAGAACGTAAAATTGTCTCAAAACGGCGCGCGGTTCGCCGTGAGAGTCAATCATAAATCTTAAGGCCTGATTTACATCATTTCGGATCTGTGAATTGACTTGAAACTCGGAACACACACACGGGAGACCATTGTTAACATAATTCCACATGAAAATTTACGTTCTACGGAGCGAGGACCTGTCTAGAGTAGTAGATACCTAAAAATGTGAAACCGGGCGCGTTCTATTCTGGAATCAAAATTATGACATGACCTCGCGCGTTTTGGGGGCATCTGCATGTCGCCCTCGAAATCGATAACAAGTTATATATCAACACAAAGTAGAATCTTTGCTCTTTCATACACACTAGATTTCCTGTTGGATCAGAATCTACAACAAGTTAGAAATGAGAAGGGGAATTGCACGAAAATTACCTGCTTTCAGGTCAAATTTTTGAAAGGATCACGGTATGCCATTGCTTCAAAAATGTATGGGAGTAACAAATGAGGCTTACACATTATCAATAAGTTAAAATTAGGAAGATAAATGATTGCAGACCTCAGCTACAAGCTTTCAGGTAAGGCGTGTCGGCCCCCGAAATCATGGAACGGACTACTTTCTCTCGCGGAAGGAAAATAAAACTGCCTCGAACTCTCGACGTGGCGTAGCGGCTGGATAGGGATTCCAATCCCCCCTAGGAGGATTCCGGATCCCCCTAGATTCTAATCTCCCCTGTGACATATATATATAAGATGAATTTCACTTTGTCATGGAATGCTCTAGATATGTATTACGAAGCGATGCTACTGACAGATTTACATATAACGTTATATATTCAAAAGCAATAACTCTCACAATGCAAAAATTTAAATACATGTACTTAAAAGACTGTTTTGTTATTAGAAAAATACCGAAACTCATTCATATGATTAGCCCTACTTAATTATATATTATACTAGCACTTGATGTTTTAGTAACTAGGATGTTAAGTTTCATTTTATATCCTTTTCTTTTTGTACTATGCAATTTTTAATAGTCGTTGCCATAAATTGCACCATGTATGTTCTTGCTATATATGGCAGAACAAGCTATTGAGAAGAAAGAAGGACTTGACTTGACTGGACTTGACTTGACATGAGTACATGTAGCACATACCGATCATATTATGAATGTCTGCATTCCAAGTACCCCTACGCACGTGCATGCTTGCTGTTTTGTGTCAAGTTGGCATTATCAGAGGGATCGGCAAAAGGCATGTTCAATCATGTATATATCAAACAATTTGACATACTAGCATATACATGATTATACATGTAACATACACAGTAAGCACAGGCATCCGCCCAAAAATGTACCACAACATTAGTGGCTATAGCTATTTTGAAAGTTTATCTGTGTAGTAGAATGTCATTATGAAGCAGTTTAAACACAAGATATTTGGGTAAATAGAATCTCTTGTGTTGGAAATTACATCTTAAACCCCTTCATAATGGCTATAGCTATCATTAGCTTCGCTCTTGCGAAAAAAAATACAGGAAAACCAGAAGGAAGTTTTTTTTCTACTCGGGTAAATCTAGAACTAGCCCCGGTGTTGTCAGTTTCCTTCCTCCCGTCGTTACTCTACCACAACATACATGTACAAGACAAGACGAAACATATAACCCGACATAAGGGCCTGCATGGGGGAGTAGTGATTACGAATTACGCAAAAATTTCGCCGCCGATTACGAATTACATTGATTTTTCAGAGCTGATTACGACTTGACGCTATGGAGCTAATGTACTATTACGAATTACGTTGATCGAGTTTAGGGAAGGTCGCCTACGAATTACGAAGAGTAAAAAGGCCTAATTATTTTACGCCTTACGAAAAAGGGCATGCAGCCCCCCACATGCTATCACAAGGAACTAGGAATTCACTCCACTTTGAATCTATTATGCTCTGCTTTAGAGCAGAATTGAGATACGATATGGGGAGTACTTGAGTATCTGGTTTACTGTTGTCCCGTCAGCTATATATATACATGGCATTGTGAAACGACAACCCCTCAGCGTTTAGATAATGTCACTGACTTAATTTTATGGTTCAAGACCCCCCAAACTACTGGGGGTGAGAGAAGAAAAGTTACAGCCCAAAAAATGCTGCTAAACCGCAGGAATACAAAGCTGGTATTACTTTTAAAACAAGTTGGCTATAATGCTGTCCTTTTGCGGCATTTATGAGTCGGCACTGTACTGAGTTCTTGAGTTCAAGGCCGTGAAGGCCCTACGGCAGCCTGGGTACCATCCTCCGTAGGTATACCACCGGCTTCCTAATAGCCTAATATCGCTATAGCTACCATGGACTAGACTACGGAGGATGGCAAGTACCCAGGCCAGAGCCTCGGAGGCGGTTCCTATAGTAAAATGTAAACTGAAGTCTGTTTCAATTTTTCATCCTGATCCCATATTTGGTAGTCAAACTTTTAGTACAGTAAGTTTTGAAAACAAAACAAAACAAAACAAAAAAAACACCGTCCAAATTCCTTGTTCGAAATCTTTGCAGTGATAGTTTCTTTCCCCGTACGGCCAAGCTTTGCAATTCCCTCCCTGACAAGTGTTTCTCACCAACCTACAATCTACAGGCTTTCAACCGTCAAACGTTCACCGCCATCTCTTGACATAGCCATGTTTCTCTCATATTTCTAGAGAGCCACCAATGCCGAGAAGTGGTCGTATAGGCCTTGCATTGAACCACTCCGTTAAAAAAAAAACTAATACAACAACTAAAACCCTGTTAGAAAATAGCACATCGCGTTTTACAATAACCCACAACAGGTGCATTGCCTCTAACAGTCACTATACATAGATAGTCGCCATATAAAGAAGAAAATACTTATAACTGTACAATATTCCAGGATACAAGTCGTCATGAGAATATCAAAATGTTCTTACCTGTTGTGAGAAGTTACTCGCAAAACTTTTGTTGTGACCGACTTTCTTGAAATTCTGTCAGCGCTCTATAAACCACGGACTTGCACCAGAGATCAAAATGTTGTCTATGCACTGTACAGGATATTAGATAACGTTACGTAGTGTATTTATAGCTATTGACTAACACAAGGAAGACTTGACATTCTTCGTGGTGGTAGCAAGGTTGAAAGGAGTGCCCTGTTTCACCGGGAGCGGCCCATTTGAATGGGACAATGAACCACTTACGTCATACGATCTGCGTATCGTTTGCGTAACCTTTCAACCCATGTCATCGGTCAAGGAAGCAGGATACCCCGGCGTCGGAGTTCTTGGAAGAGGAAGTGATTTTGGGACGCCCGATGTGCTATTTTTGACAACGGTTGTACCCGTCAGAGAGGCATTTTTACCTGTCAGGACGTGTCTGAAGAATAGAGAGTTACGTCAGCTTTTGTGTGACTGATCCAATCCCGCGCCCACTCGAACTCGGTTACCGGGCAGACATGGCGTTCCAAGCGGCGATGTTGAGAGCGTGTCTCCGGTCACGTCGGCTGGTGAACCGCGCGGCAAGGTTAACATTACCCGGTGTCAACCCGACTGGGGCCGGCTGGATGGTCCAAGTACGTGAAAACATCTTGATGTTTCGTCTACATTACATTTTTTGCACGATTTGAGCACATTTTCAAACCCGGAAGTAAAGTGTTGCTTGTGTGTGTGGGTGGGGGGGGGTAATTGTTGATGTCCCCGGTACAAAGTATTGAGTACTGTCGTTTAATACTAAGGAGCTTGATAAAGCTACTTGGTAAATATCTTATGAGAACAGCTTCTGTTTTGAAGGTTTTCAAATGATATAGCTGGGGGGGGGGTCTAATTGTAAGCTCTCATGCAGACGACCGCTAAATAATTTACTCTACTCTCCAAGCAGAGGTTGTGGGGGAATGATCGTTACCTTTTTATATATGGCCGTTTTTTGTTGTTGTCCTGACCCCCACCGGTGGCCGCAGAGCTTCTCTGGCTAACGGATACTGCCTGGCCAATTTGATAGTGTCTTTTTTGCCACCGATAGGGATCTGCTTGGAGATTAAAATAACTCAAGTTTAACGTTAGAATTAGCCTTGCGTACAGTCCATCGTAGTTGAAGCGTGCTCTCTTCGGGACTCTAGTGATTTCCCCTTCCCAACTCAACTTGCCTGTACATGTAGGAGTCCTGTACGGTAGCTGGTTAGCCTCATCGTGGCGGGGCTCCCCTCGTACAAAACATATCATAAACGTTATACCGGTGAGCCAAGTTGCATTGGGCGGCGAAAGGCTCTTGCAGCCCCGAGGAAAACCGCCCCAAACCACGATAGACTGAACACCAGGCTACAGCTTTCTAAGCTGAGTCAGACTTGCTCTAACCGTCGCCACGCTATTGTAGTCTCTAGTTAACATCTTTGAAAATCGTTTTTCTCTTGAAAATTTTTGTCCAGACTTTTGGGCTAGCTATAGAAGGAACAAGTAGGGTCTAACGTTAAATTGTAGTACTTTGATCAAGTTTTGTTCATTTCACCAGTTCAGTGAGCATAATGAGAGCCCTGGGTTTGAAAATTAGTTCAAAAGTAGGGTTTGTTTACTGTTGTCAGCTGCTGTATTAAAGAGTTTTAGCTTGTCATCCCGTTTATTTTTCTATATTTGAGAGGCAGACTCTTGTGGCTCTCTTGTGTAGAATAATTTTTGAGATTGAAAATGTGAGAAAGTACTTTCATGAGGACTTGTTTCAGTGTACATAACCATAAGGCCACGGCAAGTAAATTTTATGGATGACATCCTCCGCAGACTCCAAATCTAATGCGAGCGGGCGAAAAAAACAAGGCGGGTCGAAAAAACAAGGTTCCTACATTTTAAAATTTTGACTCAATCATTGTACAAATGGTTTTGATTCAGTGGGAACATCACATATACACAGCCAGCATCACATATCACTGCATCAAAGTAAGAAACAAAACATTAAATCGGAGCCTTTTCTTGTCTCCTCTCTTTATAGTTATCTGCCATCCACCTTCCGGCATGGCAACAGACATCTTTGCCCATTTTCGACATGTTGACCACTGTCAGAAGGCAACAAAATTTCTTGTTTTTTTCCCCAAAATCAGGCGAAAATTAATGCGCGCGCGTGCTGATGGCATCCATAAAAAATACTTGCTGTGGCCTAAGTCTCTATATGTCCAAATGTAACAGTACTGTCCTGTCTGCCCTTGTGTCCAGAGGCCGTACGCCATCTCGGTGGACAGACTTGACCATTTCGTCCTCACGGTCAAGAGCATCGACGTCACCGTGGACTTCTACACTCGCGTCTTGGGCATGCGCGTCGACACGTTCAAGGGTGGGCGGAAGGCCTTACATTTCGGCCAACAAAAGGTTTCGTTTTGTTTTGTTTTATAGTTTGTTTTAATGCCAACATGTAATCACAAGACGTGGTGACGGTACAATTTTTAATGAGCTTAGTGGGGAAAGTCGTGTAACTTAGCACACTTTCCCAAGAGCACAAGATCGGTGACATGAAAGGGTTCAAAACACGGGACCGCTTGGTTCTGTGACGAGCACACTTCCGTTGCGCCACACGACCCCACTTATATTTTATTTCTGTGAGCTAGTGTGCAAAGATTGAAAGTTGATTGGATCTTGCCACTTTCTAAAATCCGTATAAAAAGAAGAAAATTTGTGATCATCAGTATCCCGATAGTTGAATGGGGTTATGTGGCGTAACGGCAGATTATTCGACTCAGAATCAAGAGGTCCAGGGTTCCAATCCTGCTATGTCACAGATATGCTATGCCCTTGGGAAAGGCACTTAACACGACTTTCCTCACTTCACCCTGGTGAAAACGAATATGCCAGAATGATCGTGGCCGGAATTAAGAAAGGAGAAGACTATAGTTGACACCGTTGTACGATATTACACCGCATATCCCATATATATTGTAGTTATTTCTATTTGATTACTGCAGTGATGTAACGTATCATATGCGTGCCTAGTCGTTTGGATATAGTACAAAACAAGAGGTCTTCCTAGGATATTGCAATTGGGATTTTCTTATACATGGCCAGGGATTTTGTTTGTTTGCTTGTGGGGTTCAATAAGGGAATTTTCCTATCTTGCTCATACTATCTTCTACAAACCTGATGAAATTATTTACGGAAGGAATAGGTCTCTTAAAATTATCCTACTGTGAAATTCTTCAGGTGAATTTGCACGAACACGGCAACGAGTTCGAACCGAAGGCGCATGCGCCCATGCCTGGCTCGGCTGACGTGTGCCTCATCACGTCACACAGCGCGGAGGAAGTGCTGGAACACCTCAAGGTTTGTTTGTTTGTTTGTTTATTTGTTTGTTGGTACTAACTAGATCCAGTGTTAAAAATACCCATCTGCAGTCTTCGTTTTGCGGAGACAAGTTCAGTATTGCAGAAGAAAAAACCTGCAGTTTTGCAGACTGAAAAAAATTGGTGTTGGCATAATATTTTTTGTTTACTGCTGACTCTATGATAACTTTGCTTGTATTTCTCAAATTGCATATAAAATGTTTGCCAACATGGGTTTTAGGCCTAGACTTGTAAACTTGTGTGTATTTTTAGAAAGTATTTTCTAGTTCCAGAACAAAATTTCACCTTCTGGAACATTGCAGAACAAAAACGTTTTTCTGTTGTCATGACCTCTATCAGAAATTTTTTGAAGGGCACGATATCAACCACGTCAGCAGAACGTACTGCGCCTGCGCAGAACACTGGATTTTCGCGTTTTTCGTTGAATTTTTGGTCAACGTTACGTCTGAATCTTGCCTGTTGCAGACGATATCTTCTCCGACATAACATTTTGAAACTATTGTCGTTATGCTAACCTTATATGCGCAAATATATACGACCTTATATGAGACGTTCTGCCGAAGTGCTATGCACAATAAATACACTACGTGTCGCAGGTGCAGTGCGCTACGATATCAAATTATGAATTATAATGAAGACCTTTATTTATTGCACATTTCTGCCACACTTGGCCAAGTACAGGTCAAAACAAAACAAGATGAATGGACATTGTTAACATATACAAAAGTAACTAACTATCGAATAAATTCAACTTCTCCTCGCTTATCAGTTATTGTAGAGATAAAGGTACGGATTTATTTTTCGATGGGTGGTTTGTCTAGTCGCATTAGGAATATGAATTTTTGTAAAGTATTTAGGTGCATGAAATAGGGGAATAGGTGTTGTACAAACGTATACAGTTCATTTCTCTCTTTGCTATACAGTTCACATTCTATTACAAAATGGCGTTCGTTATCTACTAGTTCTGCTCAAGTTACAATGTTTACATAATCTGTGTTCAAGGGGAGTGCGGGTATGCCTTCCGATTTCAATATGTAATCTGTGGCAGCTATAATGTCGTTATTTTGTTGCAGACGTGTGATGTAGCGGTAGAAGAAGGCCCCGTACAGAGGACCGGCGCACTGGGTCCTATCCTGTCAGTTTACTTCCGAGATCCCGACAACAACCTCATAGAAGTCTCGTCCTATACCGAACAGAGCACGGACTAAGTAGCAGGGTGGTTTTATATTTGATAGTCGCGCATATATATAATGTAGCAATGCTTCAACCAATCGGAACTTTCGTGTAAAATTTCTGATGATACGAATGATTTGTATGTATATGTACAATATATTTGTGAACATTAGCAGCCACACTTCATATCGTTTTGTTTGTACCACTTAAGAAATTTATGATGAAAACAGTATTCTTGGAAAACTATGATGTATGATTCTTCATTTACGGGTCTAAATGGGTGCACGTGTGTGTGTGTGGGGGGGTTGTCTGGTGTATGTGACAGTACTACATGTATGTGATCTCAAATCAGATGGGTGTTTTCTATTATGTTCGCTTCTTAAAATTTGCATCTTTCAATAGGTGAGTTTTTCTCCAATGTCCTTCTTCCCAACTTCTCTTTGCGTCGAACAAGCGAAATTACAGGCCCCTATTTTGAAATAAGGCACCGCGTGTATGAACGAGAACAGATTCCTTTTTCCGACGGATTCGCTAGTCCACAGGACTCCTTTGCAGAATAAATATTAGAAATCGGCCTAAAATTAAAAGGGGATATAATTGGCCAGGGGTGTTGTTAGCCACAGAGGCTCCAATTTATACCTATTCAAACAAATTGAATTTTCTATGGCGGACTAACTCCCCTGGTCAGTTACATCTCCTTTTAGGCCGATTTCCACTATCTACTCACCCTGCAAAGGAGTCTGGTGGAGACTACGGTCTTGCCTTGGGACAGGGCTTGTCCGATACGACAATAAGTTTAACTATGGACAGGTTAGACATGTTTGGCCGACAAGATATGAAACTCACGACTAACTAATCAAAAACTCTTGACTGTCTTATATTCACATTTACTGTATCTAATATGTGTTAATACATGTAAATGTAACTTGTTGAGGAAAAGGATATATACACCAACGAGTGAAATTTGCCACGTTTATTGGGCATTAGATTTGCAATGTTAACCACAAACATAGAATATCACAAAATAGCATCATTCCTTCCAAAGAATTCGAAAGAAGGCTTTAGAATAAGGTATATATACAGACCTAATCTCGAGGCAGATAAATATCTTAAAGAATAACGTTTTCAAGATTACACAGCGACTCGTATTAACATCAATAATGTCAAGTTGCATCATGACAATTTCTCATTAAGAAATGAGCGGTAAAAAGGGAACTGAAACAACAAGTCTGCGTTTTGCGTTATACCCTACGAGTCTGACTAGTATCGGGCCGTTAGCTGACTTCTTTCGGTAGCCAAGAGCACTCCGCCCGCCTATCTAAATAATCTCTACGGGGGAGTTGAGCCCGAGGCCCGGCCAGTTCCCCTCGCATCGAGCTCGGGCTCAACTCCCCAGTAGGGGAAATTCAAATAGACGGGCGAAGTGCTCTTGGCTACCGAAGAAAACCGGCTAACAGCCCGATCCTAGTCTGGCTCCCAGGGTACAATTGCTATTGACCAATTTCAAACATGGCGATTGAAATTCATCCGAAATTGGCCTTTCCTTCGGCCAGCTTTACGCGGTTTTCTTGAAGAAGCCGGGCGCCTTGTCCGCGAAGTACCCCTCCTTGTTCTCCCCGCTGACCAGCACGGTGGCGGGGAAGGTGCGGGGCCGGTCCGGGTCGTCTGACGGGTAGGCGCAGGTCGGGACGTACCGCAGCACGAAGCCGCAGCGCCGCCGGCTGGAGCGGTTCGGCTCGCTGGCGTGGACCGTCAGCCCGTGGTGCAGGGACATCTGTCCAGCCTGGGGAAAAGGAATCGAAGAAACCATATATTATCTAAACAAGAAAATTCATAAGAACTTTATTGACACAAGAAAAGTACAGCGACTTTCGTACGTAAGGCCTAAACTGCGTGTAGATATACAGACAAATACATGGGTACAGAGAAATTAACGTACGTACAAAACAATAGATGAGTCAACTAATACTACTTGTTCTAAGGTCTAAACATTATTTGATATTCATATGAAACGCAAGTCAATTCGAGGTGTGAAACCGTTTCCAGTATGGGTTTTGAATCACGGACGCAAAATATATTCCGTGTCAATTCGGAACGTGGCCATACCGAAACACATTTTGAATCATGAACGCGGCCTCTGATATCGTAATGTTTTCTTTTTGCTTAAATTTTGAGTTTGAGACCTTCTTAAGTGGTACTTTGACTAACTAGCATGGTCTCCAGTCTATCGCGGTTAGGGCAGGTCCTCTTCGGGGCTGCAGGAGCTCTTCCCCGCCCGACTCAGCTAGGTTCCCCGGTAGGTTTTGCCCGACGGGAGTTCAGAGGGGGCTAACCAACTCCTGGCGTACAAAACTCTACCAGCAAAGCTCCTACAGGCGAAACACTCCTACCGGGCGGTCTGTTGAGCTGGGCGGGGAAAGACTACTAGAGCCCCGAAGACAGCCTGCCCCAACCACGATAGACTGGATACTAGTACCTGGCTAATTAATACCTAACCAAATACTAGCACATAAATACTTACAGATTAATTTATAAATATATATATGTGTTTGCAATGTTCTGTACCATTGTTTCACTCAAAATACAGCCAGCTACTTCTATAGTTTCCTAGTGTGGTGTTTTGAGTAGTAGAACTATATGTACCTTGAGAGGGCACAGCACTTTTTTGGACTCGTCCACTAGCTCGGCGGGGATTTCCTGGTTGGAGGTGAGCATGTTCCCCTCCTTCTGTGCGCTGCCGTGTTCCTGTAGACCGTCTTTGTGGCTTCCTGAGAACACAGCAAGCAAAACCATGAAAAAAGGTAGCCCAAAAACACATGTATGCTTCAAAAGCGTTGTAGAATACCGATCCGTGTTGGTGTCAAGTAGCGACCTACTCAAACGTGTTTTACGGTAAATTGAAAGTGCTTTGCAAATTTTATCGAGGGTTATAAATGTACAAGTGGTATATAAACTTCTACCTACCCTGGGTGCCAAAGTAGTATCGGGCCGTTAGCCGTTTTCCTTCGGCAGCCAAGAGCCCTTAGCCCGCCTGTCTAAATTACCGCTACGGGGGAGTTTAGCCCAGGAGAATTTGTCCGGCCCTAGGGCCAGCCAAACTCCCCCCAGGCTAGACTCCTCCGTAGCGGTAATTTAGACAGGCGGGCGAAGGGCTCTTGGCTGCCGAAGGGAAAGGTTAGCGGCCCGAAACGAGTTTGGCTCCCAGGGCAGCCTCTACAAGGATTCGGGAAGAGCCGGAAAGAGTAGAAATCGGCTAGAAAGACGATCAGTTCTTACCTGGTATGAAGTAAACAGCTCCGTTCTCGGCGTCAGCGTCGTCTATAGCCAGCCACACGGACACGACAGGCCCGCCGTCCACTCCCCAGTACCTACACAGGGCAGGGGAAAACAGAGGTTCGTGTACTGCTTGTCATGTATTACAAACAATAAGTTTATCGCAAATTCCTCCTGATGGACTAAAAGTACATTTAAACAGGGTACGAATTAACTATAAAATCAAAAATAAAGCTAGAAATAAAAAGTATAATTTTCTCGAAAGGTTTGACTTCTCTTTTGTACACCATGAAAGACGCCATGCCCCACCTTTTCCAAAATTTGTGAGTTAAAATAAGACAAGTTTTTTCTTTATTATTTCTCTATACGTTTAGAGAAATTTGTGTAAACAAACGCTCTATGAACAGCCGTGAGTTTCCCAAGCACTTGTGCAAGTTTAGAGTAAATAACGCGAAGTTTTCGAAAACGAAAGCGACAAGGCTCCGTCATTGCTTACCTGACGTCCTGGTGCCAGGCCACGTACGGCTCGACGTCCGGCCTCGCCCCGCCGGACAGCAGACTGACCGGGTACTTGCAGATGAAGCGGGAGTCCAGCAGGAACACGTTCGGACCCAGGATGTCTGTCAGGACTCTCACCACGGTAGGGTGGGCCGCGGCCTGCATGGCGAACTCGTGCTGCATGTGTGCGTTGTGCAGGGAGTACTGGGCATTCTCCTTACCTGGGGGTGTATAGGATTATATGAGTATATGAAATACCTTTATTGTACATTCATGCCACGACGGGCTAGGTGCAGGTCAAGACTTAACGGACACATAAGAAACGTATGTAGAAATGTGGAGACAGAAGATACACTACTTGACTTAGACATACATACATAACATAAGGAACATAAAAGGGTACTATACTAGGCTAATACAAAGTGTTATAAAAAAAGGGACTGGCTTTAGAAAACGCTACTACAAAATCGTTTCGTGTTGCCATTGTAAGACATACTGGGTCTGTGGCGTAACGGTTTAGAGTGTAGAGTGCTCAGAACCAAGAGGTCCCGGGTTCGAACCCTGCCATGCCACCGAGTAGTGCCCTTGCATTGGGAAATGCACTTTACACGACTTTCCTCACTTCACTCAGGTGAAAATAAGTATTGTATTTTCCTGTGTTGGTGGCGGCATTAAAGTAACAGATTTTTAATGTGTACTGTCTTGTGATTACATGTTGGAATAAAAAAAACATACTGACAAAAGTTGAGAAAGAGAAGAAAATCGTGCCCTCACCGATCTTGCTCTCCAGGTCGTCAAAATTCCTCCTGAGGGCAGCCAGGTCCTCCCCCTCCAGCACAGTCACCCCGGGAAGGTACCCGTTCTGCTCGAAGAACGCGCCGTAGTCTGTCACCGTCTCAGGCATCGTGGTCGGTCTGGTCTTCTTTGTGCGACGAACGTACGATTCAGTAAGAGAGGACACAAGCTTAGCGCCTTGAATTGTAAGAGGACTGTTGTAGAATACTGTATCGGGAAGTTTCGGTCGTATTTAAACGATTGAAGGGGATATTTGTGACGCGACGAGGTGAAACAATGAGCTCACATGGTGGTAACCTTACAAACGGCTATTTTTAGCTATGTGGTGGAGACGTGCCCTCTGCTACGTACGCGGAAATTCCCCCAACCCAATGACTAATGGTCTTTCCTGGCGACCAGCGCGTGACATTTGCTGTGGCATGTTTACACATGATGCAATGGTTTCGAGCACATGCATATGTCACCTCACCCACTGACTAAGTTGGGTTTCCCGTAACGTTACACTTAATCAACAGTTTTAGAACTATCTCGAATGTATTGTCTTAAAGAATGAAACACAAAGACTCGGCGTTATCCAACACCAGAGAATACCAACGGAAGTCAAATAGAAAAACATTTGTCATTACCTCATCTACTATACTTGGCATTGCGTTTATAATTATAGATTGACGATTGATTGTTAAGGAGCTATTTTTCCAGGTAAAGGAAGTATCATTGACGTAAGAAAACACCTGAGAAAGGACATTTCCTTCGTCTTACTTGGTGAAGAGCTTTTGTCTTTGTGTCCCATTCTTCGTCATTTTCTATGGGCTATTAAGTTTCCAAACGCAAGACCTTAGGCCATGTTGATTTGATTATATGGATGACATCCGCGCGCGCATGAATTTTCGGCCGTTTCCCCCCCAAAAAAAGTTTTCAACCATACTGTAAATCGTACAAAACAGTTGCAAAATGAGCAAAAATATACCATAAGTTACAAAAAAATTAATAAAAACTATACCAATGTCGTAGAATGCCAAAATCAAACGAAAAAAGACGAAATTGTAAAGAAATGAACTTAAAGACTAGATTATTCACCAAACCATATTCTGTGCCATTTGCTCAACCCTCATGACCACGTAGATTTCATAATGAAAAGAACTTTTTTTTTTGCAAAACTTTTTTTTTATTCGCACGCGCGCATCAGTTTTGGGGCTCCCGGAGGATGTCATCCATATAATCAAATCAACATGGCCTTACAGTGAACCACGATTGGGCGGGTAACAAGTTGTGGCTTGTACAGTTTTTTTTTATATATATTCCAACATGCAATCACAAGACGTGGTGACGGCACACTCAAGTTTTTTTTCAACTTATATTAATGCCGCCACAAACACAGGGGACAATACATGTACAATACTCATTTTCACATGAGCGAAGTGAGGAAAAAATCATGTGAAGTGCCTTTCCCAAGGGCATAAGATCGGTGGCATGTCAGGACTCGAACCTGGGACCTCTTGGTTCCGAGTCGAGCTAGCACTCTGCCGCTTCGCCACACGACCCCGCAAGTTGTGACATGTACAGTTTGGGAGGGGTACAGAGAAGGATTATTTGCTAGCAAACTCGCCCTGTTCATGACTTCATATAGTTAACGATTTTCCATCAAACATTGGTTTACAAAATGACTAACAAACTGGTAGACCAAGCACCAAGTATCTGATACCAGCCCAGAAAAAGAGCAAGAAACAGCCATGCCTTCAAATATCTGAGCTATCAACCAAGAACTGAGGTGTTCAAAAGCCCATATTTGCCAAGAACTATCGTAGAGTTGAATTGGCACAAGTACAGTAGTTGGGGAAACATCACTAGAAAGCTTTAAACAATACTCCTGCAATTAAATGTGCTAAGATTGGGTGTAACAGGTCAGTCGGTGTAACTGACGCCGGACTGCGTGCCTGTGAAGCTGGTGTGTTACGAGTTATACCGACACAGATACAGTTTGGGAGGGGCACATAGACGGACATACATACATACATAGACGGACAGTTTGCTAGCATGCCAGGTTCAAAGGTCCACTTTTTGGTCCACTTTTTATCTAAAGGTTCAAGATTTTTCTTTAGAAGATGGACTGATTTGTGTCACCAGCGAGGCTGGAATCGTAGGAAAACGGCTCACTTTGTCATTCAAAAAAGTTATCTCTGATTTTTTCTTTAAAATCCTCTAAAAACGCAGAAAATGCCATTTCAGAAGGTTCTTTTTTTTCAAAATTTCACGGGGGAGCATGCCCCGGACCCCCGTAGGAACCTCGGGCCTTCGGCGCTCGCTGGTCCCTCAAGCAGTGGGAAGAACCCCCCCCCC